TATTAATATTTATATTTTGTAGTAATTCTTTTTGTATAAAGTATAATAAATTATGGGATAGTGTTCACTAAGCTCCATTTAATCATTTTCTAAATGCAATGTTCTATTTTTTATCTCCTTATTTAGTCCTTTCTTATGGCATATGTTACTTTAAGAAAAATCATGTGACGACAATTTAACTATTGTATTTTGTTTTAGAGATAGTTTTGAAATCTACGAAGGCTTTGAATTATCTTTACAAGAAACCAATAGTAAAATGAATATCAAAATTAAAATAAAAAAAAGCGAAATGTTGTGCCTTATCAAAATCACTTATCATGTAAAATCAGGATCATAGATCCTAAAAGTCCTTCTCATCTCTATAGTTTTTGGGTAATTCAAAGTAGTTCGAATGTAATTTAAAAATAATTTTATTGTCAGTTTGATTTAAAGCTATTTTGAAAGTTAAAGATCCAGGTCGATTTCTGAAAGAGAGATTGGAAACCTAAGGGGACTTCGAATGAAAAATGGGATTTTTAAATTTATAGAATATTTTTTTGAGTGCTGGCATACTCCCGTCCCCCTCTGTATCCCCGGACCAAGCTTCTTTTGCAAATTTCTGCCCCACGTTCCAACATCCTGTTTCGTGCCGTTCATCTTGTCTCTCCAATTGTTGGGCCCGTCTCTTTGTTGCTTTTGCCGTTGTTGTTGTTACTGTTGTTGTTGTTGCTGTTGTTGTTATTATAGTTGTTGTTGTTGGCAGCTAGTTAAGCAGTTTCGCGTAAACGTTTTTCCAATATGAGTTTCGGGGGGACGAAAAGCGGGGAACTCGGGCTGTTGGCTGGCTGGCCTGTGTGTTTAGGCTGTCTACAGGGTTGTTATTTTAAAATTAGCACTTTGATTTAAGTTGTCTACACTCTTGGCGGCCCGTCTCTAGTTGGCCAAAAGCCCCGAGTCTTGGCTCAAACTCAAACCGAAACTGAACTACAGCTGCATTTGGCCAAGGTGTTGAACAGCTGAGTGAAGGGTGAGGGTAAGAGTAAGGGGTGCTGGGACTGCAACTCCAACTTGATTGCCGCCACAAAAGGTTGAAGGTTAGGGCAAGATAAACTGTTGTTGATGGTGCCCAGAAAGCCATTATCCACATATCATCCGCGGATGATTTCAGATGTGTTGCAATGTGCGGGGGATCGGATCGGATCGCCACATCCCACCGCCCGATGATTATGCTGATGGCTCGGACAGTACCTGGGAGTCGAAGTGCCACAAGATGATGGCCAGTTGAATGATTTCGGTTGTGGCATTCGTTTCCTGGTTGCCGATTTTATTAGTCATGGCTCTTTCCATTATTTTCTATACGCCATCGTAGAGCCCTAAACATCTGGCTAATAAATATTGTGAGCAGAGTATCTTGGTAATTTATTTTATTATTTCTCATGAGGCTCAATAAAATATTTACACCTGTTTTGTAATTTTCAACAGCACGAAGTAGACTTAATTGGGCTATTTTCTGAAATTACTAACCTATATTTTTAAATTTTCTTTAAAGGTTTGTTTCTATATTTATAAAAATATCTTTAAGTAGTATATTTAATTATATTAATTACCTTTTTTTGCATTTATTGCCGGATGTTTCTTTGGTTTAAGAATTATTTAAGTTTACTTTATGAAAGCTAGGATAAAATTGGACAAACTTAAAATACAAATATTAGGGGAAAAGTTATAAAAAAAACGTATATTGAAAAACATTGAATAATCTTTCGGCATCTAATTTAAATATCATTAATTTGATATAAAATATTTTAAACATAAGATAATAACAAACACTTGTTTAATGTAACACATTTTTATTAATAATTAGTCTTTTAGTTGTAACAATTATAATCTTGATCTGCAAGCTTTTATGTTCTGATCTTCTCAGAGTTCTGTAAAGAATATTTACTATTATATATTTGTTTTCTAGATGGGTCTAACCAATTATTTCAACTAGGGTCATTCAAAAAGCACTATGCAATCAAGCAACATTTTCCGTACGCTCCATTATCAGTGCAACTTCCTAGTCGATGTACGCACATTGTCGAGACCGCTATTCCATTGAGTTGATTAACCCAGAGGCATGTCTCCCCTTTTGGTTGGGAATATCGCGTTGGCAATTCTTTTGGGGGCCGGGGGGTTTTGGCCAGGTGAAGTCAGGTGAGAAAGAGCACGTCGCTCCGTTCTGAGGCGCCAGCGAAAAGCGATGAAAGAACCGCATCTGCCGCAATTACGGCGATGGGGTTCCGAAGAGAGCGTCACGTCTCCGGCTCTAGGCCTCGAGATCGCCGATGGAGATGGAGATCGCCGATCGAGATGGAGATGGAGATCGAGATCTGGTCGCAGTTGCTAATCAACTCGTTTATCGGACCCAGACTCGCCAGCGTAATCAATCATTGGCCAGATATACAAGCGTGTGGACTGAGCTTATCTGATCCGTAGTTGGGTCTCTCTCTCCCGACTGGCACGTAAATCGCTTCCGGCGGACTCTGCAACTGCTTCTTATCACGGGCCTAATTAAAATCATTAAAATCGTCTTAAACATACAGTCGAACTGTTACGACTCAACCTAACTATGTCCTAACTTCCTCAAAAGTTGATACCCTACAGCAAATGCCCTAAATATGTTTAAACAAAACAACGAATATTATTAGCTGCTTTATATAATAAAATCTTTATCATTTTGAAATAGAATTTTAAAATAAAAAAATTGAAAGCTATTTATGTCTCAACTTTATTTTTTAAAGGTTATTTTGTTTATATAAATTATTTTACTTCTATGTTAAAGTGGTTAAAAGCCCCTAAAACAATAATCCATTTTAAACAGCTTTAACCATTAGGAACTCAAAGTTTTTCCAAAAGATTAATAAATAGCCTATATCTATTTATTTTATCTAAAATTTAAGTGCGGATTAGGAAAATTTTCCGGTTAAATAAAATGAATAGAAATGAAATGACCCCGGTGGCCATTAAAATGCATTCAAATAGGAACACATTTCACTACTAATCAGAGCGAAAGCCGAACGACGGACTCTGGTTCGAATGCTCATGCATTTTTAATGCCCCATTTTGTGGCCGGAAGGAAGCGCAACACGTTAACGTGTTAATATGGACAGCACAATCTATTAATTTGTCAACAATAAAGTAAGACAAGCGACAGGCGACATCGTCCCCGAATGAGAGCATTGATTGGAGGCACCAGGATGGGCTGTTCTGCTCAGTTCAGCTGACCACAGTAACTCCAGCCCCACTAACTTTTGGGCCTTGGGGAGAGAGGGGAGGAGAGGGGGCATTCAGGTTGTTGTCAGCACAGCAGGTACGAAATTAATATGCGAGCAACAATTAAGATAAGCGCGCAAAGTTGTGAAGTGACTGCTGCGAGGAGGGCGCAGTCGGTGGCCCCAATTGAGGTTGTCCGGCGACCACGGCAGCCGCCAATGACTAAGGCGACAACAAGCTGGCAAGTCGGGGAAAAAACTCCACTGGGTAAATATCGCACCGAGAGAAAAGGTCCCAGGAATAACTCTATTTTCAGAATGCATTTCAATTCAATCGATACAATTCTTGCAGAGAATTAACGATATATTAAAAAAGGTTTTACAAATTCGAAAAATAATTAGTTTATCACACATCTTTGGAATCAAATTATGTTATCATTACGGTTGTCATAACACACTCTATCCAATATATAACTAGATTTAAACTGTCTAAAAAATGTTGAGATATTTAAAAATAAGCAACAGAAGTGATGAAACTGCTACAGAATTACTATTTTCATTGTAGGAACAAATTAGAAAAGTAAAATGGTACCTATTTGGGTGTTGGTTAATACATTGTATAGATTATATAACATTCACATTACATTTGTCAATCGCAAACAAACTAAATAACTATTGAAGCGCGCATTTGAAACTCTTTATTTAGGAAAATGATTATTTTGTTTATTTTAATTTTTAAAAATATGTATGTGTATCTACAAATCGGCTATTTTTCACGTTACTTTACTACCATTTCTTACCAAATTCAGAGTCTTAACCTTTTTTTTTCTCTGCAGAGAAAACTGGGATCCAAGTGAAGCGATCTCGATCGCACCTCGCCGACTGCTTCCTCTCACAGCCAGAGTCTGCGAATCTGCGGTAGCCCGAAAAAACAACCACAGCTGCGAAAATATTTTATATAAGTTGAAAAAATTTAACCACATCCATTAAGCAAGACCTTGATGACAAACGGCGGCAAGTCTTTCGTGCGATAATAATAAGTATTCATTTCAGATATAATTTTTGTCGCTCCTTCGTTTTGCCATCGGCTTCGGGTATTTTTGGCATGTCCATACCTATAATAAAAATTGAAGTTGCCCTTTGCTGATTGCCGATTATATTTTGGGTGGAATGCTTAAATTCAATAAAAGGTGGTAAAGGTCTGCTAAGAATGTAAGCTTAAATTGATTTTTTATTCTTTACAAAATATCTTAAAATAAGGAAAAATGTCCATTATGCTTATAATCAATTTGAGACAATCCAAATTATTCTCAATTATCAAAACTAAAAATAAAAACATTTATATTAAAATATCTCGCATTGTTTTTATATAACAGCAACATTTAGCTGATTTTACCCAATCGTTCCTACGACGGATATAGGATATAGTCGTCAGAAGAGCAAGATTTTTTAACATAAAAAGTCATTTGTCAATAGCTTTTGAACAATATGGGAAATATATGACAAGAATATACCAGAAGATAGGATCGAAATATTATAGAAACATAATTATAGGCCAAAATTAGAGATTTTGTTTCCAATTTCTATAACAACCCGCGTTCTGTTCCCATGACAGCAATTGGATTTCGTTCCCATGGCAGCTATTGGATATAGACGTCCGATCAGTGTCGTTTTTCAAAACTAATTTTCAATTGTGATCTGCGTACACATAAAATAAAGACGATTGCCAATGCTCGCAAACGGTAAAGAGGTTTTAATAAAACGCGATGCTTTGCATAGATATGTTTATGGTTTATTTGGTAGCTTGCACTCGCGGGAAAGTTTTTATATTATGGGTTTAAGTTGCATGCTTGAAGTACTCCTCCTTTCCGGAGGCATCCGCCTTCATGGTCTTGCCCCCTGGACGCCAATTGGCCGGGCAGACTTCTCCGAACTCGTCGCTGAACTGGAAGGCCTGGACCAGACGCAGTGCCTCATCCACGCTGCGGCCGACGCCCATGTCGTTAATGGTGATCTGACGAATATGTCCCTCGCGATCGATGATGAACAGGGCACGGAGGGCCAATCCTGTGGTCTCATCGAGGACTCCGTAGTCCCTGGCTATCTTCATTGACTTGTCAGCCAGCAGGGGAATGTCCAATTCCCCCAGACCTCCTAACTTCCGCGGCGTACTCATCCAGGCGCAGTGCACATACTGACTGTCAGTGGAGCAGGCCAGGACCTCGCAACCCACGTTCCGGAACTCCGGGGCTCTGTCGCTGAACGCCTGCAACTCCGTGGGGCAGACGAACGAAAAGTCGGCCGGATAAAACACCAGCAGAACATATCTGCCACGCAAATCCGACAGGGAGAAATTACGGTAGCCACCGGATACCACCGCCAGGGTGGTAAAATCAGGAGCGAGTTGGTTCAAATTGAGCATTCGCATTTTGGTGATTTTATTATTATTTTGTATTCGAGTTTTTAGTTCTGAAACTTGAGTCTGGTTGGGGCTGTGATATTATTATGAATGATCGAATAGGGAGTTGTTTAGATTGGCTTACTTTGAAATATGTAAAACAAGAAAGGGGATACCCAAAGTTTAAAAGGAATAATGTATTATAATTTAGCAAAACAAAAAAAAATTTGGCATGGTCAAATTGAACAATGTGCACACTTATGCACAATAGTTTTGGAACTATTGAAAAAAGTAGTAATATACTAAAATAATGGAATTTTTTTGTTTCTCTCCACTTATACATTTATAATTCTCAACTGATTCAAGCGAACGGTGCACCAAGACTTAGGGTCTAAGTCTTCCACTAGTAAGACACAGAAAAATAAAGACAGTTCTTTACTCAATATTTTTAGTAGAAAATCTGCACATACTCCTACTAAAACCCAAGTATTCCCAAACATTTAATTTTTTAACTAAAAAAAAGATTTTACCTTTTTGTTTGATTTGCCGTTTTTGTAATCATTTACTAATAATATAGTTCATTACAAGAATCCATAAACTCGTGAAACTCGTAAAACTGGTTTTAAGTGTTAAATATATATTTTTAATACTAGCCCTAAGTAAACGTATGCCTCAAGAGTAACCATTTTCCATTGGTCAATCAATCTGACCAATTCTTCTTTTATGTGTAACAGAACGCTTTCACGTTAAATGCCTATCTAATTTTATATAGTTACACAGATTAAATAAATTTACACATCCAGAAAACAATTGGGGTCAAACATTTCCCTCTAAATCATATTTCAACCGCCGATTGATTACAATTCGATTTAATTTTTGTTCATTTCCCACTCGAATTTCCAGCACATATCTAACCGACAATCGTAACACGATCATCCCAATTAGAGCGTCCTTTTGGCAACATAAGCCGAATCGCAATCGATTAAATCGAATCCGATTCAATTATGTGGACTTGGGCGACTTCCACCTGCCGCTGGATGGGCGTGTGAAATGATTGTTGTGTTAATTTCGCATATGACACCGCCAGTCGACGGGGAAATTCGAGCATTTTCTGCGGTTTATTGGCTTTGATCGATTGAAGGCGTCGCATTTTTTATAAGAGCGCCAGTCATACGGGTCGGGTGTCTTGACAGCTCATTCAGTGCGGTCTGGCCCCCCTTTTCCACCGGTTTTTTAGCATATGCCTTTATGCCAATTTCGGTTGGTGAAATATTTGGAGGCGATTTAGCAGGACGTCAATTACCGCCGGCCACCTGATGACAGTTGCAATTAAAAGCGGTGGAAAAAACAAGAAAACGCGGGGAAAATAGTTGCCCGTCAACATGGATGGATGCCTGTTAATAGACATGTAAACTGCAATTAAAACAAGCCAATGGGGAGGGGCCGAGTGTGGAGATGGGGGCCTCCAAATATTTTGACTCGGCCAGCTAACATGGCCCGCTGTCTTGGTCTGTACTTTAATTAAAATATTTAAGCACGCAAATAGGCCTGTCTCTGCATCTGTCTATGGCCAAGTATTCCCGTCAGCCCCTATATCCGCCATATACTCGTTCTCGGACTCGTACTCTTCCCGGGGATCTGCGGGAAAACTCAACTGGGCGTGTCCACTATACTACGGAGCTGCCGCTGCCGTTGTGCGGCTTTAATCAAAGTTTTTGCCAGCGGGGAATCAATCATTTGAAATTTAAACGTCATCGTGCGTCAGACAACTCATAAGACAAACCAACAGTAACAGCGGGCGAACCAGCCCAGGTTACAATTCTGAAGATGGAAACGTGAGGGACTCGAATTGGCAAGTACTTAAAGGGAGGATTAATTCGGGATGAAAACCAATTAATATCAATACTTAAAAATTACTTAAATTTAATAACGGTTTAGGAAATGTGGAAATAAAATATTTAAAATTATTCAATATGAAATCATTTTATTTAAGAACACATGTGAAGACAGAATTTATATTGAATATAAGCTTTAATTTAAATATTAAAAACAAAAACGTATTTTAGCATTTTTTAAAAAATACTCTCAGTATGAAAAGAGTGCCAAAAATATTAGTAATAAAGCCACAATCCTAACAAGTTTGTTTTTTAGACATTTTGATTACACTAAATAATACGACACTTAGTTTTAGTTAGGTAAAAATTCTTCTTTCAATTCTTTAGTCACATAAAACTTTATATTGTGATGTGAACCATTTATTTTGAAACACCTCCTCAAATATTTGCCTAACTTTTTTCAAAAATATTGTGCTCCTTATTTAAAACCGCTAAATTTTCTCCTTGCTTCGTTAAAAGTTACTATCTTATACACTTTCGTGTCACGATCTGCCAAATGATCCCCTGAACCATAACCAACTCCAGCCTGAATGCGAATGTGGCGTGTCCGAGTTTTTAGCGAGTTGCCTCCCAGAGCAAGAAAAAATCAACCAAAACCAAAACCAAACCAAACCCCCGGCCAGCGGCCGACGCAATCACAAGAAACATTTTTCTTTCTTAAGGTTTTTATTATTTGTTCGTGTAGTTCTGTGTTTCTGTATTTCTGCCGGCCTGTCTTCATGTTTCGCCGTAGTTTTGTTAATGAAAGCCAAAAGCGAAATTAATGCGTGTGGCCAACGCCATCAGCAGCGCCCCCAGCTTATCACTGTCAAGCGATCTAAACTGGAACTGGACCTCGTTTAGGCCAAGTCAGACCGAACAGAGCTGATCTGCTGGTGTTTAACTGAATTTATTTGCCAAATATCTATAGAAATTTATTTGATTCGGGCCATGGGAAATTTATGCGCCTGTCGCTTGGCCTTTTGTGTTCAGCTTTTTGTGTGTTTGCGCATAGATTTTTAATAAGTGATAAACATTTGAAATGACAATTTTAAAGTCGATTAATTAATTAAATGGCAATTGAAAATGCCAGCCACCCCAAAAAAACACGGGCACGAAAACATGATGGCACATAAAATACACAAATTGATTGATTTTCGGCACTATATGCATATATTTAAATTCGTTATTATTTTTTTGTTAGGTTTTTGTTTTGAGAATTAATGTGAATATTTTGAGAATTGGCTTACGGACGGTTTGTTATCTTGAATAAGTAAATTGAATGGTTATTCAGCTCGAAGCTCTGTTTAAATTATTGCTCTTTTTATGTTTTGACATTTTCATGACACAATTCCGTGTTTAAAGATAACCGAATTTAAGCAAATTAAATAAAATGCTGATATGGCAATTATTCACACTGCAGAGGAGGTGTTGTTTTCTGGATAAAATTGTATTATAGAAGTAAAGTGCGATGTGTTTTTTAGCTTAAGAAGATATCTAGCAAATGATAGCATATGCAGGTACAAAAAAACATAAAGTCAAAAGAAAAATGAAGAACTTATTTAAATGGAATATCTGAGCTGAAAACGTGAGATTTTGTGTGTTTGTTCATATGCACCTGGAACACATTGAAGTAATAAAAAAACAAGTGATAGTATGTGCATTAAAATGGTGCAAACGTTAATTCTGCAAAACAATTACTTTAAAAGCACGAGCACTTCCGGTATTCGATAATTAAATAAATTCAATAAAATATACAACTTTTAAGGCATGGGAAATATAAAATACTAATTATAAATTGAAAAGTATTTAATTTTTGTTATTAATAAGATATGCTTTATTTGACAATGCGTAGCATTCAAGGTTTTGAACTTAAAGCGGTAATAATATTTATGCTAGGGCAATCGGAATTATTTAAAGCAATAAAGTAACAGAGTTATGTATCTTAATATAGACAAACGCATTTAAAATGAAAACTGAGAGCACTTAAAACCTTTTTTCCAATGTAATTTAAACTTTATTTTTTATCGCGCACTTAACGAGGCAAAGAATATCCCACTCAACCCCTGAAAATTCCAATCACACGACCAGCCAGCCGTCCTCCCAAAACAATCATGATGGATTGGAAAAGACTTTAACTTTTATATTATTCTGCTTCCCATGAAACGAGTGCCTTGTTATACGCGCATAGTTCAATAGTTTGAACTCTTTTTAATTGATCTTGATTAATCGCACACCACACACAGATACGAAAAAATAAATACAGATGCCGCCCAAGGAGGCGGTGGGCAGGCTCCCCATATCGAATCGGAAGCCCGACCATTAATTACGCTTTAATTACCCGCCGAAAAAAACCAAATATAAAACGCATGGGGCAAAAAACCTTAATAGTTGCGCCTTATCAGCATAGAGTTTCGCTCGCCAGCACTCCTAATTTCATTAGTTTAATGACACAAAACTGTGGAAAAACCAACAAAGCAGCGAAAACACCGACGCTGGCTACCAAACTACGCAAAACGTGCAGGCGGGCAGCAATAAAAAAATTGTTAACAATTGTGAGAATAAATTGCTAAATAATTAAGTGGATCAACGGCCGGCGGAACGAGCGGAGCAGCTCGAGAGATCTCAGACTCCAAATTGCATATGATTAATTAAAGGAAATAAAATGCTGACGACGGCAGCGGCCACTAGAGAATGAGTAGCAGAAAAACACAAAAAAATATAGGAGTAAAGCAGAGCGAGGCGAACGAAAATCTTTTTCTTTAATTAATATTGAAGTGAACCAAACCAAACCTAAGTTCAGTAGCGAACCGACAGCAGAGTTTCCGAGCAGCAGAAACTGGAAAAAAACAAAGACAGGAGGCGTTTTTCAACTCATTAACGTTCAAACGAATTCATTTGCATATCTCTACCTGCCCCAAATTAATATTCCATGGCTTCAACATTCTTCTTGACTTTTTTCCGTAAATTTGAAACGCTTAAGAAACGAGCTGAGAAATGGTCTCACACACAATTTGAACTGCAACACTGCTCAGTCAGTCAGTCAGTCTCCCCCACCAGTTAGTTTATTTCAGTTTCTTTTGTCTAAATGATTTTTATTAACATTTTTTGCGTCAGGTATTCGAGTAGGGACACGCATTTGCTGTGTCACTGCAGTCGACCATGTCAGTGCTGGCAGCTTAGCTGGCTTACTCTCAAAAACAGTGGA